CGGTTAAGAGAAACCTACAACAAGGTATTTTGAGACTGAAACAGGCAAATGGGCACTTCCAAGAGATAAGCACTTCTGAACCAAGTCTGAACACACGGCCTCACGGCTCAGACCCTCTGCCAGTGCGCTTCCAATGCATCTGCAGCACTAAATGAAGAAACTAACTCCCAGAGAGCAGACTCATAGTTAAGACATTATGAAGCGATTCTACAGCAGAGAAAATTCACCAGGCATACAGAAGACTCTCACTCCTGACCATTTCACCCGCCGGGAAAGCAAATGCTTTGGCAGAGCCTCCTGCTTGCACACACTGCGGGGGGCACCGGCAGGGAGAGGGAGCACCAAGCGGTGCTCTGGTTCTGGTGGCAGATGAAGAGAGTTTTAATCTCAAAGGGCACCAACTGAAGTTGGGATGTTTACAAAGATTAGACAACGAATCGCAATCATCTCTCACATGTGCTGAGCTGCAGACATCCTTGTACAGATAAGGACGCAAGCGGGACAGGAAGCAGACCCCGCTGACACAGGAATTACATATTTACTCATTGTTTCACTTACTCGCAGCTTTCAAGAAAGCATAACCTAATGGTGCGATCCAGTCCACAACCTGATTTGCCGCTGTTCTATTACATGCGAGTAGTTTGCTGGGTATAAGCCACTCAGCAAAGCTGCTCAAATGCAGTCGTAGAAAGTGAAATTTTAATGGAGTCTGGCCAAGCAGTGTGACATTAAAAAAAAAAAAGGAAAGAAAAAGATGTTAGCAGAGTAGTTTCCAGCGCTACCTGGAAATAGAGCAGTGGTTTGCTCCCCCCATCCATACTGGCCAGTCAAACCGTACAGGTTTGATGACGCATCTCACCACAACAGGTTTATTCAGAGAGGAGACAGCTTTCGCTGCCTGTCGCAGTAGCGCCGAAGGGTTTTGATTCGGTCAGATTTCCATGTGCACCACAAAAATACGACATTTTGCCTTAAAAGAATTCACCACTGAAGAAGGAGATAAAGCAAACGAATAGGGGGACAAAGAGGAAAGGACAAGGTGACAAAAATAGGAACTTGAACTAGAGTAAACCCTCGTTACAAGACAACATCTAAAATCTGCCTGGGTGTTTTGAAGCAGGTGCGGCTGAGCCAGAAAAACATCCACAGCAAAACAGAGCGGTGCTTGGCCAGTCTGCTTTAATAACTAACCTTAATGAAACCAAACAAGACATTCACAGACAGGCTCTGTGCATGAATAAAACTTCCACAGAGTTCATTTCAGGGCGCAGGACCATTGCCACGGCTCCGATACAGGGAAACTCTCCCAGTATCTCACAAGTCCTTTTTCACTAAGAGGGGGGGAAATTTAAATTTTCACTAAGGAGGAAACAATCTCCTCCTCCTTAAGTAGAAGCTCTTGATGTAAGTGAAGGAGGGGCAAGGGTGGAAAGGGACATTCGTGCCTTTACCAGAAAAACAAGAAACATTTTATTACATATTAACCAGGCGCTTACTCTGATTCTGAACTCGAGCCAGCAAAGGAGAGAAAGGGAGGTCCCGGCATTAGGATTTGTGACTCTTCCGTAGCTAAGTCTGTCACTGAAGGTTAGAAGGCGAACTTAAACAGCTCACTGACACAAGTCCCAGTACAGGATGTGAAATATCTCGCAGCCGAGCTCGGAAACTCAAACCAAACTGAGAAACAGAAACAAGACTCTGCTGGGTCAGGGCTCTACACTCAGCACGCCACAGCTAAAGACGCAATACCAGAGCCTTCTGAACATCTCACAAGTTTTCCCTCCCACTACGAGATAAACCCTTGCAAATAGTTTGTTTTGGAGGCAGAAGGCTCCCCTCCACTGCAGATAAACAACTATCTGGCAGGGCTGTGACAAACCACTCACTGCAGAAAACACAGCTGGCCGTGAGGTCCCCGCGAGCAGAGCCCGGCCCCAGGAAAAGGGAAAGTTCCGTACACCCAGCCCTACAGACGAGGCCTCACACCAGGCTTCTCCCACAGTTAATTTTAATTAGTTACTTGTGCCCTGACTAATCAGGATGTAACTGGCACTTCGAAAGCTTCCAAGTGCACATCTTGAGTCACGGAAATAAAAAAGGTTGACAACCCTTGTCCCCATTTTACAGCTGCACAAATCAAATGAAAAGAGCCTTGAATTACTTCCCAAACTCATTAGTCAGAAGTGAAACCAAGAATAAACCCCAAGAGTTCCCATACCCACTGGGTGCACAATCCATTGGATCAGGTTCCAGGCACGGGTGGGAGCAGAAATTGCCACCCCAAAGAGCTCAAGAGCCACACACCCCTCGACGGGTACACAAATAACGCAGAATGCAGCGACACAAAGTGTGTTTCTGCACTCTGCAATGCCGCCTCCCACCTTTCCCAGCCAAGAGCACCACAGTTTACCTCGTCAAGGTGAAACCTTAAAGAGGAATTTCTTTAAGAAATACAATTTTATTCTTTAAGCGATACTATTTTAAGAAGTGGCGTGTGTTACAGGCCGTCTGTTCAGAGGGACCTGCCTCCCGGGCCCTCGAGAGCCAGCTCCCTTCCCCATTCCCAACCTCAACAAGAGCGCTAGCTGCAGTTCAACGGCAGAGACGTTCCTGAATACCTGCAGTTTAGGAAGCACTTCCACAGCAGAAAGCCGTGTTGTTACTTAAAATGATACAGAACTTCAGCTGGAAAACAATGACAAAGTTTAACCTCTCAGTTCCCAACTACCGGAAACAGCTACTCACTTTTTCACATTTGCCTCCCCGTTGGGAATTCTGCGTAGCTTCTTCTTTTTCAGTATTTTCACAGCTCTCCTGCAGAGGGTTTCAGAGTCCAACATCTCCTTGACTTTGCCGTAAGACCCTTCTCCAAGTAAGTCTCCCATCAGGTATTTGCCAATGAGCTTGGCCCTTTTCCGCCGTGGCTGGTAGATGACCTCCGTAGAGTCGATGCGATGGATAAAAGTGTCCATCCCCACAGACATCAGCTCACTCTCTGCAAACATGCCCAGCTGCTGCGGCTCCTGCATATCCATCCTGGATTAAGTTCCTTAACCTGTTTTCCTTAAGCGCTCAGGTTTTAATCCTGTTTGTTAGTTTCCAACACTCCCTTTTACTCCTTCTTGAAAAAAAATATCCAGAAGATTGTACAAACATGAATTAAAAAAACAAAAACAAAACAAACCTATGAGCTGCTTCCAGCTCAACTGGATGCTAAAAGATCCAGGCCTGGCTCCAGTAACACAATGTCTTTTAAAAAGAATATATATCTCTGACCAGATACACTCAGTTTGGGACTCGCTTTGCTTCCGACCTGGTCCCACTGCTAGGGTTCTTTCAAGTCAACGTGGCCTTTAACTTGGCCCAGTTTGATTCTTAAGTGCTAGGTCATCCTCTGGGACGTTAGGCCACCACATAAAAACAGACAACTGCCGAGTCTCTTTCGTGACTTTCCATTCCTAGTAGCTCATAGTCACCAACTCCGAACGGGATGGCAGGGGAAGCGTCTCTGCCCCGCTGTCCTCACCGTCCCGCTACGAGCGCAGATGGGGCTTTTTTCAGCCGTTTGGAAGCTGGAAACAAGTTTCTTTGAAGGAGTTTTCAGAAACAATTCTAATGTCTTCGCTTTTCACGCCTACAGAAGTTTGAGGCCTTCGGTGCCTATCGAGATCTCCCAGGGGCATCCTTCAACCACCTGGATTCCGCCTGGCACATGATGTGTCACCACACGGGTCCAGGTGTCAGCCGGTGTCAGACAACGCAAAACCTACCTCAGCTTTACCGACCCACCTTAAAACGGGAACAAGCAGGAGGAAGTAATTCTCTCTGCCCAATACCCCAAACACCCCATCCCCTCCCCGACAAGGGAAGGCCGACGAAGGGATGCCCGGGCTCCCCCCCCCC